CGTCCCCTCAGGACGCCGCCCGCCTTCCCAACACTCACCACCTTCCCGCCCTTTTCCCGCCCTTCACGATCTTCCCGCCCTTTTTTAGCCCCTCAAGATCTTCCCGCCCTTTTCCACCCCTCATGATCTTCCCACCCCTCACGATCTTCCCGCCCTTTTCCCACCCCTCACGATCTTCCCGCCGTTTCCCTCCCCTCACGATCTTCCCGCCTTTTTTTAGCCCCTCATGACCTCCCGCCCTTTTCCACCCCTCACGATCTTCCCGCCCTTTTTTAGCCCCTCATGACCTCCCGCCCTTTTTTAGCCCCTCACGACCTTCCCGCCCTTTTCCCTCCCCTCACGACCTTCCCGCCCTTTTTTAGCCCCTCACGATCTTCCCGCCCTTTTTTAGCCCCTCACGATCTTCCCGCCCTTTTCCCTCCCCTCACGATCTTCCTCTTTTCCCACCCCTCACGATCTTCCCGCCCTTTTCCCCGTCCCTCATGATCTTCCCTCCCCTCACGATCTTCCCGCCCTTTTCCCTCCCTTCACAATCTTCCCGCCCTTTTCCCGCCCCTCACGAACCTCGCGCCCACCGAGCCCAAACCTGAGAGAAATAAAAACCAGGGGAAAAGTGGGGAGAAAAAGGAAAAAAAAAAAAAAAAAGGCTTTGGAAGTTTATTTTCTTTGATAAAATCTCAACTGAAACGGGCGGCCTCTGAGCACAGCACCAGAACGGCACAAACCCCCTGGAATTCCCATGGGGAAATCCTGTGGTTCGGCTGTTTTGTGGTGAATTTGGGGGGTTGTTTATTTTTATTTTTGTATTTTTTCATCAGAAAAAGTAAAGCCATGGAATTTTCCCGATATTAAATCCCTTGGAATGACACCAGGGGAAGGTCTGACCTGCGTGTGACGTCCAGCGACAAGTTTAGTAAAGCAATGTTCCCATTAATGAGATAAATTAGTTAAAAAAAAATGAATTTCCTATAGAAAATTACAATACAGAGAACATCCAATTACAATATGGGGTGTTTAACTGGAACTATTCACCAAGAACAGAAATCCCAGCGTAAAAAACCGGACGGAAACAAAAATAAATCCATTTTCTTCCGCTGTAAAACAAGAGATGAACGCCAAGACGTTGTTTTTTTTTTTTTTTCCTTCTTCAGGTTTTTCGTGTAAAATCCAAAGTTTTTCCTTAAAAAACCTGAATTTTCTGAGGCGAAATGAAATTATAAATAATTCCGAGTCGGCGCTGAGAGGTAGAGGTGGCGCTGCCATCACAATCTATTGGCTTGTTCTGAGGTAATTCATTCATTGCGAGTCAATAATTCCATCGGCCCAAGAGCGATATTAATTAATTAACGTTAATTGACCTCTCTCCTCTCAAAAGGTCCCAAAATCTCTTTAATTGGAGGCATCGGAGTTGACGCTGCCGGGGTCTGCGGCCGGGGAGGTGATGGAGGAGGGGGTGGCGGCGTCCTGCCAGCTGCCGTTGGCCTGAGGGACATTAAATCATAATTAATTAATGTTTAATTAAATCAAAATTAATTAATTAATCGTAATTGGCAATAAATCGTCAAGAAATTATCTATAACAAGGCTCTGTGAGTTTGGATGTCAGGGTGGTTTTAAAAGGAAATTGATATCCCAAAAAACCTCCTGCTCCTTTGATTTATAATTTAATATAAATATAATTTTATACTCATATAATATAAGGTTTTTATATATTAATTTTCTATAAATACAATAAATTTATATTTTTATTTCATGTGTAATGTTAATGTCAAATATATTTTAAAACGTGTTATTAAGTGTATGTTTGTGATTTCTGCATTTAAGTCTAAATGTATGTACTTTAATGAATTTCATGTATAATAATAGTAATATAACAGTTCTTTATAATAGAAATAAAAATATGCATATATAATACATATATGTGTAATATATATTGGACATAAATGTATAAATACATATACATGTAATATATATTATACACAAATATATAAATACATAAATATGTAATATATATTTTACATAAATGCATAAAAACATATATATAATATATATTATATATTATATATAAATGTGTAAACTCAAATATATATATAATCTATATTATACATAAATGTAAAATTTGTAATAATAATATAATGTTCCTTAATATAAACCGATAATAATTATACAATAATTTTATACAATTTTATAGTTTTCTATGGTATATAATATATGAATAATTTATAGAAATTATACAATAATTTAATATAATTTAATATAATAATTTA